AATCTAATTTTTTACTTTTATGATATTGATTAGGCTAATCTTCTCATTTCGATCTTTATTTTATAGAATTTCTGGCATTATCACGATAGGCTGTTATTATACAAGTAAAAGGTAACAAAAACTTTAATTCCTCGGAGTTCTCACTGGAACTCCGAGGATTGAAAACCTGGAAGCCGTGACCAGTGGAGCTAATCCGTGTCGGGTAGAGACAGGTATCTACCTCAGTACAATAGATGGTCGTGCAATCTCGTGGGTTGGTTGGGGTTAGACACTAATACCGTTCGATGCTAGCTAGCTCAGTGGTCTAGAGGTTAAGATTTCGTGCGCGAGACTGGAAACCCTGGGTTCGAGTCCCACGAGCGGGATCGTGGATGCGCACTGACGAGGAGTCCCACAATAGGACGAAACAGCCGTCCAGTGCTTTCAGGTTTTCAATGATGGTCTAACATCAATCGGTTCATGATCTCAATTAAAAGTTTTATTGACTTATTTTTTTAGCCCTTCATACTACTAGACATTAATATGAAATAATTTGCAAATAATTTTTATTGATGAAATATAATAATCTCACATGACAGAAACTAAATTTTTATATTACTTGTCAATACTGTTAACAAAGTATAATAAAGATAATGAAAAAAACTTTAGTATGAATTGATCAACATTGCAAAGCAAAATATATCTGGCATATGTTAGATATGTACATATCAGTTGGCAAACAATTTCAGCTACATCTAAGTGCTAAAATCTTGTTGAAAAGAAGTAAATCATATTGAAAAGAGAAAGGATCTAAGCTGTACATGACCAACGGTTTTCAGTATAGGTCAGTTTTTTTAGAAAAAAATAGTAAGGATATTTTTGCCGGACAGAAGTCAAAGTGAAGTTTAGTAATGTAGATGGATATTACTTAAATGTATAAACAGTTTTCCTCAAAGATGACATCATTTGTAAATCCACTAACAACCACGAAGGGTTGTACAGCTATTTCAGAGTAGTTGGGAATTCTTCAGAAGTGCATACGTATGGTTCTGCACGAAATCCTGAAGAGTAAAATTCATATAAATCACTAATTCAAAACCAAATGGTCATTAGACAATAAGAAATGTCGTCGTTGAAACACATCAGAAACCACACTTTACTGGCTTCCAGTTTCAATTAATCTAATTTAAGGCTTGCATCTTTACTGATTTCTTTTCTTTCAAATTCACTCACTCAGAGTGCTGTGCACACAACTCTAGCGTACAAAGTACATCTAGGCTAACCTCGATCCTAATGAACGTTGAACGTTACATAGTACTGATATAACCTCACTGGTTAAGTTTACAATATGATTACTGAGTCAAATAGCTCAGAATTTCAATGAACTTTGTTTGATGTTAGCTCGTTAAAGTCAATCAAAAGACAGTCCAGATGTACTGTCACATTGGAAACTAGACAGATGACGATAAGAGCAGACAATCATGACCAAGTTCTTTTAAGTAACGGGTTCTACTACGGAAATCGAATATGATACATTAATAATATGATTTTCAAATATATGATCGAAATATAATTGATTATTATCAATGTTGTATATGGAAATGATTTTCATAAAGCTATATTGTATTAAAGAAGTGATCAGCAGAAGTGATTAATTGATTTAATGTTATTTGATTTAAAAGACTATACTAAAGCTTATTATGCCACATTATGGACTCTCAATTAAAAATCTATTTTTTTGCTTCAACAAAAGGATTGAATATAGACCTTCGTTAAAATGTTTTTCCTTTATTTGAGGCTGAATATTTAGTTACATTGATCATATAATACGTAAATTACAATCCAGTTCTTCTACAACATACTACTGATGAATCCCAAACTAAAACGAAACAAACCCTGGAACTAAATTTCGTGCTCGCGGCCCGGATAGCCCAATGGTAACATCACCGACTATAAAACTGGGTGATATGAGGCCAGGGAGCACCAGTTCCCTCAAGACTACAGGTACACCTTGCTCACGAGTGCCAAATAGCATGAAACTCGGTTTCAGGATTTCCTGATGACTACCTTCAACTACCATCTTACCTCAGCACAGTGTCCAGTCACCTAGACTAGTGGCCACATTGCAACTTGGTCGATAACATTCCATCTGCACTAAGAAGGACTTGAATCACATGACATTGATCACCATCCAGTGATCAACCAATTGTGAACAAAAAGGATAAAACATTCAGCCAAAAACTTAATTTCATCATCAATGTATACATAGTCAGATTATAACATAGGTTCATTAAATAATCTACCTAGAATATAGAATTCACACAGACTAAAGGAATGTTATAATAAATTATTGATTCTACTCTTAATATTCACTAATCAACTAGGTTCATTCGACATTTGGATAAACATTTATGAACTATTAGTTTTAACTAAACAATCAGTGATAAGAAAAAAAAAGAACGACTAAACAGTACGTATATGGAAAGTATTCGTAACCTACGTTGTAAGTTCATAGGACGTTATTTACTTAATTACTTACACCTGTTACTCCTCGTGAAGGAACATAGGCCGCCGTCATATGACGTACTTCTATCAAAATTCAACTCTCCTAACAATTTTTTTATAAGATTTTATTCAGTTAGTGTTATATATTAATTAATTTCCATTGATCAATATTTTTGTGTAAATGTGATAACACAATTATGTAGATAACTTATTTCTTTCTAATTATTCATTATGTTTTAGATTGTAAAGAGTTGAAAAGAATTTCTAGATCAAATGAATCTATATTCATTTGTTATAATGGTTGTTTGATATTAATCGTTTAAAAAGTTCCTTTCTAGTGTAAAATAAGAAGTTAGAATATATCTGATAAATGTTCATTATAATGCTGATTACATATATTGAGATGTTAATTGAAATTCATTTGATAACTAATTTAATTTGTATATGTACTTGTGCCTGTACATTTACTTTCTAAGATCTAAGGAAGAATGTAAAAGTAGAGTAGATATACACTATCTTGTATTTGGAAACTATTTGCTTTTCATGAGTTTCTTGTTCTTGATTACCAATGTAAAAACAATTAATGACAACAATCATTTTAATATCGAGATTCGTCCAACTCTCTGTCGTTAAACTATCTTTATTAACTGGAATAATCAATAACCAATACTAGTTTACAAGGACAAATTCTGAATTCCATACTTCAATTAGTGTATCTAACTATTTACTTCTTATCATCGTCTACCCTGAAATCGAATTGTCAAGTCCTGCTACTTTACTTCTATAATTTTCATTGAAGACTCTCAGGTTAAACTCAGTATCAAATTTAGAATTTTTTGAACCATCTTCAATTTAAATATTTACCAAAAGCGCCAGTAAGTCATATTATTGGGTCAGTGAACTCTTATTGGTTAGCAATAGAAGATGGACAGTCAGACAAAGGCAGTTGTTCTGTAATTTATCCCTCAATATTTTGTTAATAATATGTAACGTTCAAGTTCTCAATCGATCTTTGATTGAAGTATGAGAGAATAGTCTCATCATCGAATTTATTATTATTATTTAAACACATAAATATTGGTACAAAGCAGCACTAAATACATATGCGTCACACTTCATCATTCCATTTGTATGACGGCTGGGATACTTACTCCTCGGGTGCCAAAACCGAAGTAGATGGTTTTCTTAAGGGGCTACACCCCCTAAGTGAATAAAATACAACTAATATTTAGTACATGATTTTCAAGAACAAAGAAAACTACTACTAGTAGTATTTCAGCTAACATCACAAAACAATAAAATCAACATTATGTAATGTATTGAAGAAGAACATATGGAACTCAAAACAACTTCCAACCAATATCAAAGTCAGAATCTTCAAGACGAATGTCAAGGCAGTTCTACTGTACGGAGCTGAAACTTGGAGAACTACAACAATCATCATCAAGAAGGTACAAGTATTTATAAACAGCTGTCTACGCAAGTTACTCAACATCCATTGACCGGATACCATCAACAACAGCCTTTTGTGGGAGAGAACAAACCAGCTTCCATCTGAACAGAAAATTAGGAAAAGACGATGGAAATGGATAGGACATACACTACGCAAATCATCAGACTGCATCACGAGACAAGCCTTAATTTGGAATCCCGAAGGGAAGCGGAAAAGAACACATTACGTCGGTAAATAGAAGCAGATATGTAAAGGATGAATAACAACTGGAAAGAGCTGGAAATGATTGCCCAGGACAGGGTTGGATGGCGAATGCTGGTAAGCGGCCTATGCTCCTTCACAAGGAGTAACAGGCGTAAGTAAGTAAGTAAGTAATGTATTATAGAGGTATATGTTACCCCCAAAATATTAAATGAAAAGTTTTATTGTCATATACAAAACAAAATAATAATTAAAATTGAAATTAATACAAGAAAATAAAACGATAGAAATTGAAGAGAATTTAAAACGAATAACAAACAAATTATAAGGAAATAAATGAAATTTTTCTATGATGATAATAATAGTAGTAGTAATGAATGTACCGGTTATGTATATATATGTTCATCAAGTTGAAAGGAATAAGACAACAATATAACAAATGGCATCTTACTATGAAGCTATAGCTCACTAATTTCAATTTATTTCTGTGAAATTTTGAAAAAAAAAATAATAATAATAATAATAATAATAATGGAATATTGTTTACAGATACTTTCAAGCATATCACTAACACTAAGTTTATGGAATGAATCTGTTAGAAAACATTCTTATAAGACAAATGATCAACTGAAACCAAAAATTGAAGTCATTTATTATCTGTAATCTATTTGAAATAAATAACATGTTCACATATTAAACGGAATATAAAGTACAAGAATAATAATAATAATAATAAGTAATAACAAGAGATCAGATCAGCAAGTAATTTTGATTGAATATAAAAAAGCATCTTTCCAGGATCCAAGAATTGGAAAATAAGGAAATAATTATCGAATAAAAGATAAGATGATTTAATTATTTACTATATTTTATCAGACAAGTCAGAACGTTTTTTAATTTTGTCACGTCGCCGCCGAATATCAACAGCACCATTAGATAAACCAGTTGGACTAGTAAAATCACGATTAGTAGGCGAAGTCACAATAAGAATTTCACGATTGGTGGTAGGAGTTGATGTGATGGTAATATTAGTAGAAGTAGTGTTGGTAGTATTAGTACTACTACTAATAGTACTACTATTACTACTGGGAATCGATGAACTCACTCCATAATTTGGTCGGATTTTAATAACTTTATTCGTAGTGTATGTTATTTCTGGTTTTGGTAGACAATGTAATGGAGAGAGGTTATATGATTCAAGATTCTGATTTGCTATTTCGTGATTGTGGTCATCAACTTCATCATCATCGAAATTATCATCACAATTCAAATAGTAAGTACGAGAGGTGAAGTCGCGAAATACATCATCGACTGTTTCATCGTTCAATGTGAAGTCAGATTTCTGTTAAGGAAATGAATGGAGAAGAAAGGAGAAATAATATAATAAGAACAAATAAACCGCGAAAGTAATTGGATTGAGTAAGTTTAAAAGACTGGCTTTCAATAACAAAATGTGCAGTTATTCTTGGGCCTTCAAAATACTGAAGGTGGAGACAGCATATCTTTCATCTCAGAACGCTCAAATACGGCCGTGAGTTTAGACCCCGAGAGGTTCCATTGATTTCCTTTATGTGGTAGGGTTATTGAACGTCTGGCACTTTAATCAGGTTGGTGCGTACAGAGGGTCTACTTCACTCAGTATAGCAAACCCTCTTAGGCTCCTCTCATATAATTGTGTACTTCCAACTCGAAAAATGGAACACATCTATCAAGTACAGGTCATTAAAATTAGCCTTAGGCCACATTGTTTGAGTGTGGGTTGGTTATCCTATCAGGCTATTCAAATTGAAGTAGCAGGTGGACTGGAGTTCGGACTTGTAACCCAGTGGTTGAAGGTTACATGTTTTAACCGACAAGTCACCGACAGACTAATAAATAGTTTAACTATAAATATAAATCATTTCACTAAAACTATAAACTATATTGTTTAATAAGCGAAGAATGAAGAGGAATGTCACATAGTCGGTAGCCGCAGCCCAATCATTATTACTATTGTTAATAATACCAATAATGATGATTATTTTACAAATACAGAAAATAATTTATGATCTATGGTCTACTTTACATCTCTATAACCATAAGGTCTCTCTGTGTGTATACAACACTTTAAAATGACTTGTTCTTAACGAAAATTTCACATTGAAATAAATGTCTGGTATTTTTGTTTAAATAATCATGAACTAAAATGTAAACCTGAAACCTGGCAAAAAAAAGTGATTGAACGCATAATAAACAAGTAAATTATCAATTTTCTCTGGAATATAATAAGCTTAAAATTCCACAAGTTACTAAAAATCACTAATCCTTAGAAAATTTCAAATTTTATCATTATCCATATAAGATTTAAACAAGCATTGTTCAGTACAGCAGTCATTGATGTCTTCATTACGAAGGGTCTAAGTCCTGTACAGAATTGAATCAATAATATGAAATGATAATCAATAACAAGCTGGTATTTAGATCCCAGTACTTGTTAAAACTGAGACCGACCGGTGAAAAGTCTGTAATTACTGTATTGTTGGATGATGTGATTTTTAACTACACAAGACGAATTACCTGAAGGTCCGTAACATATCATTAATAAAAGTACTCAGAGGTTCAAAGAATGCAATCTAGGATCTGCACTTTGGTTATCTCCGAACGAAAAACACTAAGCACACAGTGAACTATTACATCACAATTATTTTCATGGACTGTTGTAAGAATTCCGTAATCAAAAATGCAGTGATTTTATCATATTAAACGAATGTTATCCATATAAGTTTGATATATCTACAGACGCTGACAAAATGCAGAGTCTTCTGACCACTCTAAGCAACAATGCAAGCATGTTCGGCATGCGATTCTCTGCCTCGAAATGCAAAATGTTGCTTCAGGATTGGGTTGCATCGACACTCGAACTAATGATAGAGAGTGAAGTAGTTGAGCGTGTCGACCGCTTCACTTATCTTGGAAGTCTCATCAGCCCTTGTGGTCTGGTGTGTGACGAAATCTCAGCACGGACACAGAAGGCTCGACTAGCTTTTACCAACTTGCGTCATTTATGGCGTAGGCGAGATATCCGTCTGTCAACCAAAGGACGGGTTTACTGCGCAGCAGTTCGTTCCGTCCTACTTTATGTCAGTAAAAACATGGCCGGTAAGAGTAGAGGATATTAGTAGGTTACTAGTATTTGATCATAGGTGTCTTCGAAATATTGCTCGTATATCCTGGGTCCATCGAGTAAGTAACGCAGTGGTTAGGAAACGGGTACTAGGTAAGGATGCCAAATCAATTGATGAAGTAGTGAAACTTCATCAGTTGAGATGGCTGGGACACGTGTTACGTATGCCCAACGACCGACTGCCTCGACGTGCCATGTTCAATGGTATAGGAGTAGGTTGGAAGAAAGCTAGGGGCGGCCAGACCAAAACATGGCACAAGTCCATGAAGTCACTGACAAGTAGATTGAGTCATGTTGGTAGGTGTAGACTACCTGGTTGGGGACCGCGAGATGATAGCAACCGATGGTTAGAGACCCTGAATGACATGGCTCAAAATCGTTTGCAATGGCGCTGGTGCATACACTCTTTGTGTTCTCCCAAATTTTGATCTCCTTATACTTCCTCGTCTCTTTTTTTCTCTCAAATTTATTTCACTGTATTATACTCTTTAAGTAACATCTCCAAACACTAATCTTCCCGATTACTGCTTATACTCTTATTACCTCTACTACTACGGGATTTGAATCGACTACTGCATCTCTATGCTAATGTGGTGTGGCAACTCGAACTGATGTACGTACGTACGAAGTTCTACGTTGTGACTGACTGACTGACTGATAATATGAAAATTATTTCTTGTTTTACAAGGATAGGCCGTATGTAATTTATGAAGTAAGAAGTTGAGGATATCAGTTGAGTTAGCATAAATTTCAAACCTTAGGGAAACACTCTAAAGACTCCAATGACAAGTTTTATTACTATTTAGAGTTTGTTAAGCATGCAGAAATTGCACAATCGATTTTTATTAAATTGATTTTATTTTCTTACTATCTTGAAATAAAGCTGATGGTCACATAAAACTAGTTTTCACTATGGACGACAACTGTAAACGACCAGTGATATTGTAGTGTATGTTAGTCACAAGATTGTCTGTAAGTAGTGTGTAGCGTTACGTGACGTCAAAGTTGCTACAACTGTCAGACGGAGTGAAACGGTTCAATGCATCGAAGGCACGAAGTTGCCAGAATACTTGGAGACCAGATGAGAAGATAGTACAAATGGCAGAACAAACCAAAAGACGCAAATGGGCGATTGAAGGGTATGTATATGTATTCTCGCAATAAATACACATTCCTCCTGCCAATTGTTGTGCTTTACGATATAAGGATGAATAAGGAACTAACGAAATTAAACAGTGTTGCCGACTTTGGAGATAGGTTATCTCAATCTTTCCGAAGAACAAATTCACTACCATTATTTGTTCGCCAAACTGATGGTTACTTATCCTCCAAGACTGACTTGAAAACGCTTACACCTATGACTGCATCCTATTTTATTAGTGAAACCACCAGCTACAAATTATTACAAATCCTAATAAAATAAAAGTAGCACAAAGTCTCGTACACGGATGTATATTCAGTACAATTTGTGTATATCACTGGGTTTGTTTGAGTACCGACAAAGCAAATAACTAAATAGGAATTAATCCTTTCAATGGTTATTAACTTTGACATTTTGAGAGGCATGAATTGTAGAAAGTGTTTTAGAGACCAAGTAAATGTATAAACTAACCAAGTAAAACATTTGATAGAGTACGTAAGATATATACACTTAAATAAAAGAACTTTGGATTCATAAATATATTCTTAAATGTAAATCATACTGGTGTTACACTGTAGCATCATAGATATCCTATAAATTTAAAGTAGTGGTCACATTACAAACCAATCAATAATTCGTTATTTATTGCCTGTTTTAGACAAACTGTTCACAATAGTTAAACTAATGAGTGTAGTGTGGTTAATCAAGTTTAATGGGAAACTTGAACAGACATCTGATTTGGTGTAACTCACCAGAAATTTGTGTAGCCAAACTATGTAGAAATCATCATCATGTAGGTAGGTATTTTCGCGGCTGCAGTTCCAAGCACCATACAGAGAAGAAAATCACTTTAATGGTTCTTGGGATCCACGTTCTTCGGGTATCCCTAGTCCTAAGTCAAGATAGCTTGGTAGTAATGGCTCTGACAGTAACACTGATTTGAATCCCACAGGAAGCATTAGTTCCCTCAATAATGGAGGTACGTACTGTCGGTAATTACCCAGTATGTTGTTAACTACTTCTAGACACCTAGATATTTAACACTATGTTTGTTATTACTTATTGACCAGTCAATGAAGACTTCTGTTTAAATAAAAGAAAAACTGACTAACCATCAAAACAGTATAGAATCTGGACCAAACAATACATAAGTGCGCACGAGTTGGTATGACCTTTGCTGGTTCAATAAATGGACATACATATATTGTTACTGAACTACCTGAATGGACTTTAAATATTAGGTGTAAAAATACCAATGAATCACTCAATATATCGAGTGAATGAAATATACTAACATACGAAATTTAGACTAATTATAAAATGAAGAAACATGTGAGATTTCATACTGAACATACTTAAGTGACTGATGTGCTGGTAACGACCAAAGTCCTGTGTTAGTATCATTACAGGACATTGAGGTGACTCTGAGGATTAGCCACAGAGGGTACGAATATGAAGGGTTACATTCAAACTTTTACCAATGGTTTTAGCGATTCTAAGTAGCGATTTCCAGCTGATTATGGTTGAAGTTTTGGGAGAGAAAGAGGTTCTTAACACTTCTCCTCTTAGTGTTACTCGTATGCTAGATGCAGTATTCTATAATGTCCACTTTTACGACGGAAGATTTCTAACTCCTTGGTAACAGTTTATTTTCAACCACAGGATTTGCAGTTAGTTTTATTCTGAATGGGACTAATACCAGGACCTATGCCAAGTCCATTCACACTATCGTTTTCGGTAACAGCATGCATCCCACACCACCCTTGGTTTCAGTACGTTTACAAAAACCATGACACAAAACATGCTTATATCCCACCATACAACCTAAAGTCAGAAGGTAAGGTAGAAAGGTCAACTGACACATTCAGGTGAGCATTCACATAAGCCTATGAAGAATGGACATACCTACATTTCCAAAAAACGCTTTAAATCCAGTTACAACCATATCAACCGATTCAACAACTTAGCCAAGAACATCAGCGTCACCCGCTTGGTGGTTCTTTTATATGACAGAGGTGCTTTACAGATATTTATATCTTTCAATTCTTAAGTTCATGCGCGTTTGTTAATAAATATTAAACAAGGTTAATTTTCAGGATTAGTACACTAAACTTTCGTTAAACATTCAGGAACATCAAGCAAACTAAGTCATAAGTCCGAATCATATTTAAATACCATTCAGATCATTTATTTGTCCCCGAATAGACAATTTATTTATTTATTTGAACACATAAATATTCGTACAAAGGGACAACGAATACAAATGCGCCACACAAGTGTAGGCTATGATACTGCCCGGGTGCCCAAACCGATAATTCAATTGATACTTATATTTTTAAACTGACCGTAAATCAAAGACAGATAAAGTAAACTATAATAGCTGGTCGGGAAAGTGTGTCTAATTAAATAGTAGAAATGAAGATCAAGGGAAAACTAATTGATTATTTAGTTAGTCTTATGTGTATTTTACACTTTCTATAGTTGTTAAATGTTTTAGACATGCTCATCTACTTCATGCAACGATATGCTATGCTAATAAAGAGTGCTTAAGACAGTCAAACCAACAGATCGTATACACCCACAAATTTATTGCCTGATCAACATAATCAAACCGAGAGATACGAACTTGTCGTTTGGAACACATGTGATAAATATAATCTATGGTTGAGTTCGTGTAAGTTTACTGAAATAAGATTTCACACAAACAGATGATAATGGGAATTTAAAACACCGCGAAAAAGTATATCATTTCAATTCTCCCCAATTTATGACCGAATGAAAGAACAAAACCATTAAAAATAGAAAACTGGTTAAATAAAATATAAAAGACACTAGTTAATGGAAGGAAGTAGAAGTGATAAATGTTTAAGATTTACAAAAAAGTAGAGATGTCTGTAGTGTTATGATCAATCATGATGAAAATCATCTGCGGTCTACTGCTATCAATTTTTACCATTTAAAGATCTTTTGCCCAAGTAGTCAACACTTTCTTGGACGACATATATAGTTACTACTCAGTGGTTTTAAAACCTGGTGGCATATTGAAACCTAAACACTTATGTTCTGCCTACAATCCTGATCATAGTGACATCCCTCTATATTGCGATAAACGATGATTCAACATTTGCAATACAAATTATGTGCTACCGACAATCGATAAAGGTTTACAATTTTCTTTAATTAGAAGTGTTAGTTCTTATAATAAACAGATAATAGTTAAAGAATCAATAGGAACTAAAGAGCACTACACCTGGTTATTTAGTCATAAGTTGAAATATATCTCAATAGTGTAAACAATGACTCGTCAATACATCCGATTTGACAATAATCACTCTACTTATGGGAATTCATAAATCAAAAACTGTAACTGAAAGTATTGATAGATTAAACCTGACTAATAAACAGTAAATCATGAAACAAACCATATCAGTAAAGTACCACAAATTCGACCAACTATTACACGCTTTGTTATTATTAACAAGCATAATATATTATCGAACTTACGAACTGATCTAAGTTAGATAACCAATGAAACCCTGGAGGCACTGAACCAGCAATTCGTCCTAGTATGAGACTCCTCAACAGTGGGCATCCTTGACCACAGGACCTTCGGTCGTTTGCTCGCGTAAACACTAAACTCTACACCAGTGAACAGGGATCCTAACATGTACGAGTGTAACTTCAATCAGTTCATAGTATTATGCGAATAAATAACTTTCAATGTCTTCTGTGGGTGACTTCCTAACGCTCGACTCAGTTGAACTCCTCTACACACAGCTTCTTAATAAAACTCCAGGAACTTTAATGATAATTAATACTAGTAAATATTGATCAGAACAACATATATAAGCGAAAAATATTGTTTTCGATTAGATCACCAGGCTTTACTCTAATATACAGTAATATTTGTATGCATATACGAAATTATTAAACCAATCAAGGTGGTTTATGAGTCAGTGATAACAATGGGATAGATTACATAAATAAACGTAATAAGTGAAAAAGACAAATTGATAATGTGGTGACAGGTGTACTAAATTTCAAAAACTCAACGATATGAAGGACATAAATATGAAAGCAAATGAATTACTGACTAACTCACACATACCAGAAGCTATAGGAATTCGATTGAGTTTTAAAGACAATAATAAATAATAATAATAATAATAATAATACATATAGACTAACCTTAGCAGTCTCATTTAACCGTTGCAATCGTAGCAATGTTACAATATCAGCATTAGCTAACTGTAATGCTACATCCAATGGTGATTTGCCATCATTATCCGAGATCAGCTGATTAGCTCGTCGACGTAATAACAAACAGACCAGATGAACACGACCGAATTGGCAAGCGTGATGCAGTGCCGTTCGACCACGGTCATCTTTTATATCAATCTAAGAGATGAAAAATAGAGGAAAACATTGAAAATCAACCCTGTAGAACGAATTCAAACTTTTCGACAAGACTTGGATGGTTCTTTTTTGAAATCAATAAACGAACGATCTGTTTAATTCTTAATAAAACATCAGTTAAGAGAGAAAACTCGAAGCGAACTTTTCTCTTATTTTAAACAAAATATTCCCCAATGACTTTTATATAGGTAATTTTAATAGTTGGGATCATGAGTCAATCGAGGCTAGACCATCATGGAAAACCTAGAAGCACTGGACGGTCGTTTCGTCCCATTATGGGACTCCTCAGAAGTGTGCGTCCACGATCCCGCCTTGAGAGATTCCAACCAAGGACGTATCGGTCTCGCGCGCGAACACCTAGCCTCTAAACCACTGAGCCGGCATCCGACGGTGTTAACGTCTCGCGAGGCGGGATCGTGGATGCGCACTGCTGAGGAGTCCCACAATGGGACGAAACGGCCGTCCAGTGCTTCTAGGTTTTCCATGGTGGTTTAGCTTCAATTGATTCATGATCTCAACTATCAAAATTACTATATCCATAAAACCCCTTCCGATACTTTTATATAGGTATTCACAGCATATTTGAAGATTATTGATAGGTGAGAATGTTCAGTCGACGAAGCTAGATAGATTATGCACAGAGTAAAATAAGTCTTGTAACAGAAAAAAACAAACAGAACATCAACACGTGTGGATTGCCTGAATGTTAATATGAAACATTTGAAGGGAGCTGAATTTCTTTAATATAGACAACCGGAAATGACATGAGATTTAGAAGCTTGATAGATATATTTACCTTTGTTATTGTTGTAATTAGCACTTTCAACAATCTAGTTATTTTCTGTTAAACTCATAACAATTAACATCATTTACAGGTTTTCTCCGCATGCCGATTTCGTGGTTATTGTACTTTATAGACTTTATTGGTTCGTTTCGAACTATATCTTTTATTCTCACTAAAGAAAATGATACTACAATTATTCTTATTTTTAACTTGTTACGTTTATATGAAAGTAGTAAAAAAAAATTCGACTGATGAGCATTTGTATAGGCTAAATTATTTCAAAATTATGGTGATAATATTTCAACTTACATCTGCACCATTTAACAGTAAAAATTCGCATGCTGCTATAGAACCAATACGTGAAGCCAGTATTAGTGGAGGGTAACTACTGGTAGACATTTCATCAGTTTTTGATTTTCCATCTGGACTACCACCTCCAGTAAGACCGGATAAAATAAGAAGTGGGCAACCAAGTCGAGCACCAAAACTAACTAAATAATTTGCAGCAATTTTCTGTTCAGTTAATCTTGAATGTGCCCTTGATCCGTTTTTTATGCTTGACTTGTTTTTTTCATATAAGGTTTTGATAGTATTTAACAGTTCGTCTAAAATAACAAAAAAATAGCTAAACTGTTTAAAAGAATAATTAAGAAAATGAAGTTCATCGGATTGTTGATTAAGTTTGGCTCAAAGATAGAGGCTTTCATGGATAATCAGCCAGTTTAGCAAGCACTGAGGATTAGAGAGTATAACTAGATTACTATTACATTTTACTTTAAAATTTTGCGACAGTGTTAAAATCCCTCCGCTAACCAAGGGATGAAAAAAAGTAAATTTAAGTCTCCTGCCAGCGACGCTACACAGTTACTATTATAAGCTCATTTGAAATTCAGTATTCTCTAACGTGAACCAACTTATACTATTATTCTGTTGACTACACTAATCCTTAAAAAGTTATTAGTTGAATAATTACGCTTACTTAGAAGAGTATATCGACGAATATTATGTCGAGTTAATTTCCTGTCGGGACTACTTGATATACAAATTGATGGTAATGAAGATGACGATTTAGGATGATAGATAAGTTCCGGAAAATCCTGACGTATTTGAGCACATGTTTCTTGCCAATTATCATATAGCTGTTTAATCCACTGAACAGCTTCCGTTGAATCAGAAACTTTTTCTTCAAGTGGTAGAGAAAGACGAGCAAATTTAAAACGAACCCATTTAGCATCAATCCAAGCTTTACGTTGCTCAAATGGTGTGTCAGATGATAAACGAGGAAATTCTGATGCATAACGTTGCCAATTTGATTCGAGAATTTCATTTACAAGTTTGTTACCTAAATTCAACATGACATGTAATAATTCCGGTTGCCAGTTGTCTAGGGTCAATGATCTGACCTGCGTAAAATATAGAAAAAAGGAAGTAAATACAATCAGAACTGAAACTAACTTATGTGTCAGATGTGACCAATAACCAAATTTGGGATACAAATTTCATGCATATTAGGACCCACCATCAAGCTGGGTTATAACTATATATTTATATTTTATTTGGATACAAACCGTTCATAAGAGCACCAAACAATCATAAAATTCAGTAGACAGGAAGGGGTTAGTGCATAAAACTTTATATTATTTATGTGAAGACCAAGAACAGCATTTGGCTTAAAGAACCATAACAAGTAAAAATGAAACTCAAACGTACAACACTGTTTTTAACGGCTTGTACTCTTCCGTTGTTTGCGTTGAAGACTGCAATTGATGTCTCATTTTTGGCATATGGATGAATTGACCCAATAATGCAATATACTTACAAGTTTTTATGAAAATTCGATACTCACTAGCGGTAGGATTCACAAAGGACGAAAACAGACTGACTGATTTTAGTCTTTAATGTCAACAAAGGGAAAATACAAACTTTCGTAAGTAAAATTTATACTCATTGAACAAGCTAGTGGCTATCGGAACTCAGTAGCTCATTGGATAAAACACTGGCGTTTTAAGAAAAAGGTACTATGTTTGAGTCCGTGGGATTCAGGTAAACCCAAATGACGGGACTCGAATAAGATAAAGCACATGTCCTGGATATCACTGCTAGACAACTTTACTAAAAACCTATTTATTGCTAAAGTTTCATTATTTATACTAGTAACTCACAAATTTACAGAAGTTGAACTAATCACGAAAAAGCCTTGAACAAATTTATTAGTAGTTATCAAATCTCAATAATCTCCTTGATATATATGTGGGATCAAACCTTGTTGACATATACACTCTCAATGCAGATGTTTCTGCATTATTGTTACTTGGTTTTATCTTAATTAGGAAGAATTGTGTCTTTTAGTTAAAACTCAAATGCTATAATGATTAATCATAGGGATTAAATACCAATAATCAGTCAGCTACAAGGTAAGACCAAGCACATATATGCATCGGTCAAAGTTGCCATACCATATTAGCACAACAAGATGAACACCGAATTCATATAAGTAGTTAACTCAATGACGGTAATATATAAAAGAAAGATTGTATATAAGGATGTAGTACAAGAAGAAATACCAACAAAGACCAGTTAATTTGGTTTTATAAATTAACGAGAAAAGATTACTTATATTTCATTTATTAAATGACTGTTATAAAGCAGAAAACTTTTATTAAAGTAAAATGGTCCCAATTAACTCAATTCTTAAGACGATATATACTATTTTAAAAAAACAGTTAAACCTGAAAGATCCATAACGAATTCAGAAAGCATGATAGTATATTGAATGTATTTCCGCCATTCGTATAGACTCTAAAACATAACAGTTAACTTTTTCAGTCACTGAAATGCTTAACAGGTGATTGTACACTGGTTATTTCCTTATCGATTTTTTTATCCACTTGGTAACATAAAAGGTGGCTAGATTTTCTAAAGAATGTATATATTATTCCAAACACATAAACACTAGTGGGACACAGGCGACAAAAAAGGAAACGAAAATAAAGAGGATACTTGTTGTTTTTCTTAAATGGCTAACGGTAAATTCACTCAATACGTTACTCTGTAGTCTCACATGATCAATAGGTCACAGAAACTCCCACTTCCAAGAGCCTCCAACTAAAATTATTAGGTCACAGAAGTGGTTATAAGTACTTTTAACTATTTAGGTTCATAGATCACATGATTATACAAGAAAAACATTGGAGTAAAACGTAACACAACTTTTACATTTGAGAAATATATTCAACCAAGACAATTTAGCTACAATACTGTCTAAACAACTCACTCTTTTTATTGGTACAAGATAAAATGGTTCCTAATAAATCAAAAGGCTATGTGAAAACTACCATAAGACCCCTTTTTTATTTTTTATTTATTTAAACACAAACATAGATAGGTACCAAATAGATATGCGCCACATAAATCATTCGATTTGTGTGAAGGCTTGGATACTGCCCGGGTGCCCAAACCGAAGCAGCAATAAGACCCCTGTATTAGTTTAGAGATCTTGAGAATATCACAGACCACACACAAACCACAAAAAGTAAAGTGAATAGATCTAATATATACATGATAACGGATCCTAACTATTGTCATAATCAAGATTATTTTATATCACCTGAATTTCTATAGCATAGTCAAGGTCCGTACTAAATTCCCGGAAACTTATCTCTGCTATGCTGCATAGACATTTTTTGTCCATCGAAATTGATTGTGGACAGATCATATCGGAGTCAGCTATGAAATACAGAGGTGCAAGACTATAGTTCCTCTTGGAGTAACTGATCAAATTATAAAAATACTGGAGTTAGATGACAAAAAAAAAAGTGATATGCCAATCAACTGTATTTACTACAGAACAGTTAAATATTCACTAAGAAGTATAGACTACCAGTAAGTGTATTTATAAAGCCCCATTAAAATGGTAACAATTTCCACGCGAATTTTTTGACCACTCCACTTATAAAAACTGTATTACAGTAGGTTCCTAATCGCTCTAAGATGCTATAAGTTAATTCTAGTAGATTCTAAACATCGAAAATGTATGTAAAATGCTTTATTGAGCCCAAACAATAACTAAAACATATAGGGGTTGGAACATCTAACTCATGAAATGGGAGCAGATGCATCTGGTAACTATAAAAGATAGTCTCCATTCAATTAATCCACCAAAGGCAAGTTTGACGCCAGTGGGATCATTTGTGGAAAAGATTTCACATCAGTTAACAACCTTTAAATACAACTAGGACTCTAAATCAAGTATTTTGAGAAGTAGTATATCCGTCGAATTATTTTGACTATCTGAATCATATTGCATTGCATCTCGCAGTCAGTAGACGCATATTAACCTGACAAAATGCAAGTACGGAAAGAATTACAGCTCTTTATAGATGTAAAGGTTTATAAAACTACTTTAAAAGACAGACTATCTGATCACTCTGAAACAGATCCACTATTGTATTCGCTTTTTGAAAATGTATATATAATTTAGTAACCAAAAGAGAAAATGCCAAAAAATCGGTTGCATCCATTATCTTTATCTAAAGCTAAAGTTTGAACATTATTTCATGCTTTTTATTCCTCTACCTCAGTACTTCTTTTCGAACCATAATATATTATTTAGTTTGGTACCATCGTTGATAATTGTTATTTCAACTCTTTTGTGGTGAATCTTGTTAAACTGATTCTCTCCGTGATGTGGGACGGGGTCATTCTTTGATATATTTATGCCACATTCTATATTGTTTATACGACTGACTAACTGATTTAAGATAATTATCAAATTAGAATTATTTAGGAATTGCGCTCTGAGAAGTAGAATGAGGACAAAAGTAACAACTAAAATTAGCGTCAACTTACCTTAGAAATATGAACACCTAAACTGCGATGAACTGCAGCGCATAATGTACATAATGTCACACCCAGATTAATGCTTGCCCATCTTGCATCTCCTACAGAACAATCAGCACAATAACGATTACCAGACAAATCAGGCTCACGCCATAGCATAATTCCACTTTTGTTATTCAATACATCTTGGCCTGAAATAGATGAATGGGACACTTGAGCTAAATGATCATTCGTACGACCATTCGGGAATCCTGACACAGAACTAGTTGTTGGGCTGTTAGAAAAGTCCAAACTATTTTGAGTTGGACTGCGAGAAGTTAACAGATCCAGCGAATTGCTGACAAAATTTTCTTTCACCATTCCATTCTTTAAATAATGTGGTTCACTAGTCTGGCATAAATCATGAAAACCAGATCGTAAAGTATTAACCCAAATATCCAATTCATTTACGTTAATAGCCTGTAAATAATATGTTCGATGGCCTGAGGATATTACTTCAAAAACAAATCGACGATCTGTAGAATTATTCAATAAGTTTATAGGTTTCTCTGCAGCTGTCAATCGTTTATTTGGTTGGGCAATTCGGGCCGTACAAAATCTAAGGTCAGTTACCATAATAGTCCATTGTGGGCTGGCTTGACAAAGCAACTGTGTCAGAAGACCACTTTCAGGCTGTTTATTTACAATTCCATTTGTCAAACGATCAGTATTCGATACAGATGTACAAACCTTCGATTTAATTCCGTGGACACTGTATCAGTCGCAGACTGGAGGTCTGTAGATGTCAATCCATGGAAACGTTTACAATAAACTAACTGGTTTTCATGTACACGGAACCATCGCCGAGACCATGTACGCCAACCTTTCTTTCCACTTCTCTTGAATAAGTAACCTTCTAGTCGAGGGTTTGGTGGGTTGTTCAAATTTTTAATAGCCTTTATTTCAACAGCTCCAGCTTCTGATGGTTTAATTTTACTGGGAACTTCAGTATTTGTTTTCTGCTCAAAGCTAGTGATTAACTGTTTACATTGCTGAACTACTATTGAAGAAGTTAGACTGTTTGTTTTACTGGAACTATTAAATAATAAACCCAATTGTTCTGAATAAGATTGTTGAACAGAAAGTGCCAATATTACCAATCGCATATATGAAATAATATAGTTTGGTCCAATCACTTGACGAAGATGGGATAAATAGCCTATTGCTGTCCTTTGGTAAATTTCTTGAGCCTCTTTAACTTGATTATCAAATAATTGTAAATCTATAGGAGATCGTGTTGGATTCGCTGAAGCAGCGCGATTGATTACATTATCAAGATGCTCATAAGCACGTTGAAAATTTGTTCGTAGATCATGCAACTTATTTAGGCTATCGTTATTTTTTGATAAAATATGTTCTATATCCGATATTTTAGTGGCTAACCTTCTTGTTTGTTCTGCAAATAAACTTGTTAGATGAGTAGCATGATTAAGTATCTTCTGTGTGCCAAAATTATTCCATTCCCTCGACAAATTTGAATTAAAGGACCATGACTGTTTTTGATCTAAACCCAAACCAATGCATTTGGCCAATTTAAACAGAGAAGAGGAAAATGCTTCACCAGTCTGAGAAGAAACAAATGACACAAATTCTAGTGAATACACAAGAGTAAAATATTTAGACGTACAGTGTTTTCAAATATGATCATTTAGTTAAATGGAAAATTGTGCACCTGACAAATCTTTTATTTAATTTAATCCAATTATCAAAACAAAAAAGATTTCTTGTAATTGATTTTGACCCATACGATTATGTGACCATTCGAAACGCTCTACAGCTGCCCAACAAAGTGGAGCGGGATTTAAGTATTTTGGTCACCGAACCGGAGTTGATAAATGGGTATATGATTAAACTCATATCTTTCTTCCTTTATTTATTTATTTAATATAGATAAAATCTGACACAACTAGACACCAAAAACGTACCACACAAATAAAGAAATATAAAAAGTAGAAGAGGGAAAAACATAATTTTAAAAAAGAAGTGGACATTAGTAATAAATAATAGGTGAGATAATTTCGTTAAAAATACAATAAAGGACTCATCTAGTTAAGAGAATTTCTCACAATTTTATGACGAATGTAAAGCGAAATTATAATATTGCCATTGAGTTCTGTTATAAAACGTATATGATACAGAGTTGGGTGTAAGATGCCCCTAAATAACCCGATACGGCCGAGAGTGGGGAGAGTCAGCTCTCCCTATCGAAATGTTCTCACATGGCAACGTGCGTACAATCGCTGCCAAGGAAGTCCTACTAAATGAATTCTCGCGGTGGGGGTGTTGTTTACGAAATTGAGAGGATCGAAAGCGAATGTCCGGAGCTTTAACCTAATCGGTGGATACGGAAGATCCACCTAGGAGAGTTGGAAAATTCTGATTCCAAACCAATTGCGCATATGGGTTCCAGGATCCTAAGGAAACAAATGGCATATGAACCTATTGTTGGCTACCATGGGACTGTGTCACCTTTTGTTGTTTCACTGCCTTGTGGATTAGACCTCTAGGTCGAAGGCTCGGGGCGTGGCTCCCTAAGAAAAGCACCTGCTTCGATTTGGGCAACCGGACAGTATCCCAGCCCTTACACAAACCAAATGATTTACGTGTCGCATATCTGTTTGGTGCCTCCTTGTACCAACGTCTATGAGTTTAAATAAATAAATAATAAATAAAAGATGCAACTACTGTGAATTTAGAGTGTTCACACCAGTGAATGGAACATTTCTTGAAATAACTTCAGAAATAAAAGACCATTTTAAGACAAAAGCATTCCCAATAAGAGAATGAAACACTGATGAAGGCAAATTATGAACAAACTGATTTTCTTACATTAATATAGATAACAAACCTATTTAGGAACATTGTGACATTTTAACAGTGGTCAATTTTATGAAATTCATTTGATTTTGAGAAACATCTATGTTAACATTACTTATAACAAACGTTACAATAGGTTTACCGATTACTTAGACTCACGAAAATCTGTGTATATTCTAGATAATCTCACATGTGATACCAGATATTTCTTTATTTATTTATTTATTTATTTGAACACATAAATATTGGTACAAGAGAGCGCCAATATATATGCGCCACACAAAACAATGAAAATTCGAAGAGAAATAGAAAGAAAAAAAAAACTAGGGAACGCAAAAGAAAAAGAGAACAATGACGAAGAGATTGGAGTAAGGTAGTGTGGTAGTAACGACGGAACGAAAAGGTACAATCAGAAGAAATCTTTCAGGTAAAGGAGACACAACCACTTTTTAGAAAGAAAGTAAAAGAAGGTTACAGCAGGATCGCCACTGGCTTCTATTCTGAGCCATATCTGATAACGTCTCTAGCCACTGTGTAGCACCATCTCTCGGACCCCAACCAGGGAGTCGTGAAGGACCAACACAAGCCAGTCCTTTGCAGCTTTCTTTCATGCCACGACACCATGTCATGCACTGACCACCTCTCCGCCTCTTCCAACCAGTCCCAGAGTCGGCAAATAATGCACGACGTGGAATTCTCTGGGACGACATTCGGAGAACATGTCCAAGCCACCGAAGTCGGTGTTTCAAGATGGTGACACCAATTGAATTATCATCTCTGTGCCCGAACACACGATGCCGAACCTCTGCATTACTGACATGGTGTTGCCACTGAATGTCAGCAATCCTTCGGAGACAGCGATGATCGAACACAGAGAGTCGTCTAACGTCCTCAACTCGGAGAGGCCAGGTTTCACAAGCATAGAGCAAAACTGCTCTCACCGACGCGTTGTAGATCCGACCTTTTACAGCCAGACTAACATCACGAAGGCGCCAAAGGTGGCCCAGATTGGCATAAGCCGCTCTGGCTTTCACTATTCGTGCATTGATCTCATCACTCACACCCCCACCAGCACTTATGCAGCTACCCAGATACACGAACTTCTCAACTACGTCTATCTGCTCACCGTCCAGGGTGAGTACAGGATTAGAATCCTGCCAGTCTTGTAGAAGTACTTTGCACTTCGAAGGTGCAAAGCACATACCATACCTACGGACACTGATTGCCAACTGATTAAGTGCGGATTGCATGCCTTGGGCATTATCGCACAGTAAGACAATATCGTCCGCATACTCAAGGTCGAGAAGTCTTTCTCCAGGCAACAGATCCACACCACCATTACTTACATTCATCAGAGCTGTTTCCAGAATGTCATCGATGGCAAAGTTGAAGAGGAATGGTGAGATTGGGCAACCCTGCCTAACCCCACTGCTCGAATGGAACAATGGAGAGAGGTGGTTGTATGCCCTCACTCTGCCTGAGGTGTTTTTATACAGGGCTTTCAGGATGTTAATAAACTTCTCAGGCACACCCTTCTTCAATAGACAATCCCAGAGAACAGTCCTGTCCAACGAATCGAAGGCAGCCCTGATGTCAAGAAACACTACGATTGTTGGCCTTTGAAAAGTATGGCGGTGTTCTAACATTTGGCGGAGGGTGAAGATATGATCAATACATCCTCGACCAGAACGAAACCCAGCCTGCTCCTCGCGAGTCAATCTTTCTCGGGTTTTGAACAACCTACGAAGAATGACGGAAGCCAATAGCTTGGACGCAATCGGAAGTAAACTTATCCCCCGATAGTTGTTACAAGAACGACGTGAACCCTTTTTAAAGATAGGGACAACTATCGACTCATTCCATGACGTTGGTACACACTCTAGTTCCCAAACCTTTGTAAACAACGTCGTCAATTCCTTAGTCAAAAAGTCACCACCATCTTTAAAAAGAGCCGGAGGTAAGTCATCTGGGCCAGGTGATTTGTAACGCTTCAAGAGTTGGAGTTCCTTGCGGACTTCCTCCTCATTTGGTGGATCAGTCGTCACCGGCCATGGAGGGCAGGACAGTCTGACCGATGTTGCCGGAGCAGCAGGCCAGTTGAACTGCCCTTCGAAAAATTCTGCCCATCGTCCAAGACGTCGATGGATGTTAGTGATTGGCATCCCATCATCCTCGCAGATTGTTTCACTCACACCAGACTTCTTGCTGCCAGTGGCTCGGATGAGCTGGAAGAGCTTCCGGTAGTTACCAGATGCAGCTGCTGCTTCCAGCTCATTAGCACGCATCGACCACCAGGCTTCTCGGTCCTTACGCAAGCTTTGCCCAATCTCCTTACGTAACATCCTTCGTTTATGGTCAAACTCACGGTCACCCGGAGTAGACCGACGGGCTTCAATGAGTTGTAAGGAACCAGAAGAAACCCAGTGCTTAAAGCGGGACGTTTCGCAAACCCACAACTGACTGTTCCCGCCATTTTCATGGCGTCATGCAATTGCAACCAATGCTCATCTATACTTTTCGGTGGAGTGGTAGCTAGCCTAGAGGCTAGCTCGGTTCGATACTTACTTGCAACAGAAGTTGCAACCAGCTTGCTAACATCAATCCGTTGATGGCGTTCACTTCGTTGTCCACTGAAAAGTAAGGTAAGATTGGCGCAGACCAAGGCATGGTCAGAGTCCAGATAGGTACTCCAAAAGGAGCGGCAGTCTTTTACACAACCACGCCAGCGGTAGCTGATCGCGATGTGATCAATCTGAGTCCAGGCTTGAGATGCAGAGGGAGGACGCCAGGTGGCACATCGGCGATGACTGTGCCGAAAGTTAGTGCTAGCCAGAAACAGGTTGTGGTCTGTGCAAAGTTGCAGTAGACGGTCCCCGTTATCTGACCTGCGACCAACGAGTCCCCATCGGCCACCTAAACGACTCTCTTCTGTGCCTAGACGCCCGACCTGAGCATTCAAGTCTCCGGCTAGTACTACAATATCTGTCGAACGCACTTTCTGGAGAAGAACTGATAACTGGTGGTAAAACTCATCCTTGATTGCATCCGGGCTGCAATCTGTCGGGGCATAGGCGGAGATGACGAAAAGACATCGTTTCTCACGCCGATTTCTTCTCACTTTGATGGAACTTTCTAATCTAACAGCACATAACCGACTGTTAATGGGGATCCAATCGACTAGTGCTGCCTCAGCTCTAGCGCTTAGTGCGACACCAACGCCAGCAAGACCAGACGAAGATGCCACAGGGTCCCCGGATAAGCGCACGTAAAACAAGCTTTTCGAAGCGACAGATGGAGATCGAATTTGTAGTACTTCGCCAGAGTCTTGAATACGGGTCTCGGATAGACAACACACGTCGATATTAAGACTTTCCAAAGACATAGCCAGCCCTATCTGTTGTCCGACCTGCATAAATGTGCGAACGTTGAAGGCAGCCAGTTTGAATGGTGCACGTGGTTTCAGAAAATCTGCTTCAGTCCTCGTATTCGGTGGTAACATACAATTTTCAACCGGACAGTGACTCGAGAACGTATAGATACAGTCGGATTTCCGCCAAAGACGAGCCGCTGTATAAGTATAAAAGAGGGTGAGTAATGTGGAAAATAATAATAATAATGATAATAATAACAATAATGACAATAATACTAGTAATAATAATAACAGTATTAATAATGACAATAATTGTAATGATAATAATCTGAATCAATTGTTTGTTTTTCAAAGCAAGAAAGGTAATTTCCGTAGGCA